AATTGTGAGCCAAGTGAATTAACAGTAAGAAAAAGACACAAATATTTACAGGCGAAACGCTCTATGTTCAGAACCAAATGTGCGCCAGAGCAAAAGTAAAAAAGAGGAAAGTCAATAATATCCCGAGTCTAATTCAATTGCACATAGTTGGCTGTTTTGAATGTTAGCAAACTAGATTCAATAATAAAAAAGAGACTGCAACACTTACCTGGAAATTGGCCCTCCCGACCTGCAATTCGCCCAGACCACCATTCATTGGTATTTTCGGTGCGCTGGATAATCTCAATAACATCACCAGCCGAGAATCCCAAATCACCGTGTGCTTGAGCCTCATAGTCATAAAGAGCGGTGACAGTCTCAACTGGCTTACTGAGATGAGACGGCTTCGCCCGTGGAGGAGGCGGGGCGGGTTTGCTCTTAGCGGCGGAAGAGAAACTGCCTGTTGGACTAGGACTGATGCCGGTAGACGAATAAGGTGGTGGAGGGTTGTCATCGGTGGCGGTGGAACTGGAACGGCCTCGGCCGATGAAGCTCTTGCTATCGGCTCCCTTGCCCAGAGGGTTCAGTTTGGATCCAGAACGACGGACACCTTGGGTTTTGTAGTGTACGATGGTAAGGGCTTCGGCTTGTTCCTGGATATTGCCACGCTTCTGCTCAAAGGCCTCTTCAACATCGAGTTTAAGATTGAAATAGCTGATGTTCATTCCCTGCATTCGTTCGTGGAGAGTGTAGAAGACGTTGAGTTGCATATAGTAGAAGGACTGGAAGAGCGGACGGATGAACTCGGCTTCGAGGGCGAACAGCTTGGGCAGTTCGTCCTTTAGCAAATCATTGTAATAGTTGAATTCCTGGGTTGACGCCTCCACATCGTTCTCGGCTTTGTACAGTGCTTTTTCGTCTTTGAGCGATTTGTCCTTCTTCTCTTCCAGCTTCTTCAGTGAGGCGTTGTGACGGTCAAAGTCCAGCTTCTTGTGATCACGCTTAACCGCCACCTTCCGAATCACTTTGATCACCTCGAGGAGCTGGTCGGCAGGGCTGATAATGCGGCTGTCGATCATCTCCAACTCGGGGGCCAAGGCCTCTTGCAGTTCCTTAACGATGACTTCATATTCCTCACAGGCTTGGATGCCCTCAGCATTTCCCTCGAATTGGTAGGAGGTGGGATCGGAGGCGCGACCGGAGATGGGTTTGTAGATTTCGGCGACTGCTTTGGAGAATTCGATTTGGTGGCTCAACATACCTGCGCACGCGGGTCAGTATTGGCCGGGGGGAGATCGAGAGGGATACAGACTCACCATTAATGGCAGCAAAGTATTTCTTGGACTCATCGTGTAGCTTCTTGGTCTCTTTCTCAAGCTCATCAAAGCGGCGTTCGGCATCGCTATAGACAGCATCCTTGGAATGTTCACCGATGTTGAACTTGACCTTGAACTGCTGTGGCGCACGCACAATGCTCTTCTGGAAACCTTTGAAACTCATGATGTGTAGATGAGAGAAGTAAAGAAGAGAAAGTGCCAAGGTGGGGGGTGAAGGAACCCGAACCTTTTCAATGACATAAGACTCGGAGCTGATGATTGTGGCTGTACACTATTTTATACTTGGTATTTTGCATTCGGACTATTATGCACTATTTTTGACGCTAATCCCTCTGCCTTATGTGGCGCATTATCTTAGGCACCTGAATTATTACTATGGGGTAATAGTGGACATCCTACATGTCTACCTAACTCTCTACTAGACATACGTACATAACGCCCTCGAATAGGTAGATAGGTAGGTCTATAGTAGATCTCCAGGGTTCTCTTTCCCCAGCCTTACCCGAGAAAATCGTAAGAATCAAATTAAAGACCCCAGTCAGATCGTCGTCATTGGACCATTCCATTCTTGGAGTGACTTGGCAATTGGATGAAACGAATGACCATAACGAGGGATTTTAAATTAAATTAGAATCATTGTTATAACAATGAGAGACATGATATAGTCCTAGAAGTCTGAATAGATGAGAAAGACTGAAAGGGGAAGCTCATACCTCCGACCTGCCTCAGGCATCTCGGATAAACTCAATTAGGAAATCCCCGAGATCTTTAGTCATTGAGAGAAGCAGATAACAAAAAGTCGGGGTTGTGTTTCGTTCTTCATCCCACTTTCTCACGTATATCGTGTCATTATCTTTCATAATGACAAGTGCTGCACCCGCTGCTTGGAGACAGGCTTCTGCCTTCTCCAGACGCCTTCCAACCTATGGTTCTCGAGCTCCTCGAGTTCTCGCCACCGGCCTACGCGCTCGGTCTTATGTCACCGAGACAAAAGTTGGCCAAGCTCAAGTCAACATCGAAACGGCCATCAAAGAGGAACAAAAGTCATTTATGAATCAGTCCCATATGGCGCCCCAGAATGTCAAGCTGCCCGGCTCGGCAACCTCCGGTGACGCTGCGATGAGCCCCTCGGCCGGCATTCTGAAGCAGGCTACCGTCATGGACCAGGGCACCCGGCCCATCTACCTCGACATGCAAGCCACTACGCCTTTGGACCCCCGAGTTCTGGATACCATGCTCCCTTACCTAACCGGCATTTACGGTAACCCGCACTCGCGCACCCACGCCTACGGTTGGGAGTCGGAGAAGGGAGTCGAGGAGGCTCGCGAGAATATCGCCAAGCTGATCGGGGCCGACCCCAAAGAGATCATTTTCACAAGTGGTGCGACCGAGAGCAATAATATGAGTTTGAAGGGCGTGGCGCGGTTCTTTGGTCGCTCAGGAAAGAAGAATCACATCATCACCACCCAAACTGAACACAAGTGTGTGCTCGACAGTTGCCGACACTTGCAGGATGAAGGATTCGAGGTGACTTACCTGCCGGTTCAGAGCAACGGTTTGATCCGCATGTCGGATCTTGAGGCGGCCATGCGCCCCGAGACTTGCATTGTCAGTGTCATGGCCGTCAACAACGAGATCGGTGTGATCCAGCCAATGGAGGAGATTGGCCGTCTCTGCCGGTCCAAGAAGGTTTTCTTCCACACCGACGGAGCGCAGGCGGTTGGAAAGATCCCATTGGATGTCAACAAGCTGAACATTGATTTGATGTCCATCTCTAGTCACAAGATCTACGGCCCCAAGGGTATTGGTGCCTGCTTTGTGCGTCGTCGCCCACGTGTCCGTCTCGACCCTCTCATCACTGGTGGTGGACAGGAAAGAGGTCTACGTAGTGGAACCTTGGCCCCTCATTTGGTAGTGGGCTTTGGCGAGGCTTGCCGAATTGCCGCCCAAGATATGGAGGTAAGCTTTTTATCCCATTTTCTATTTCCCATGCCCATTATTGCCACGATTATCATACACTGCAATAAAATATTTCCCCCGTGCTCAAAAAACGGTATGCTAACTGACTGATTGAACAGTACGACACCAAGCACATTGATCGCCTGTCAAAGCGTCTGAGCGAGGGTCTTCTTGCCATGGAACACACGACACTGAACGGTGACCCCGAGCACCACTACCCTGGCTGCGTGAACATCTCATTCGCTTACGTTGAGGGTGAATCCCTACTGATGGCACTAAACGACATTGCGCTGTCATCGGGCAGTGCCTGTACCTCCGCCTCTCTGGAGCCCAGCTACGTGCTGCGCGCTCTGGGTAGCAGCGACGAGAGTGCCCACAGCAGTATCCGTTTCGGCATCGGCCGATTCACCTCGGACGAGGAGATTGACTACGTTCTCAAGGCTGTCCAGGCTCGTGTCTCTTTCTTGCGTGAACTGAGCCCGCTTTGGGAGTTGGTGCAGGAGGGAATTGATCTGAACACGATCGAATGGAGCCAGCACTGATCATATTAATTTTGATTTCCCGAGCAAAAAAGGCCCATTAGGGACGGCGTTGAAGTGTAACAACATCGGATTTGTACAGACTGAGAATAATCACCTCGCAATTAACTACTCTCTACCTTCCTCTTTCAGGATTCCTCGTATGTCATTATCTTCTCAATGTCATCAAATGTCATTGATGACATTTGAGCAAGTTTTATCGCTTCATGTGATGAACCTTGAAGCCAAAAAAACGTTTAATTCAAAGTAACTATTTCTCCCGGTCCTAAAACCACCGTAGTTGAAGGCCTCTTTACTCTTTGGCAAAGAAGTTAAATGGTTTATCTACCGAGAGTCCATTCGCGACTTATTTAAGATGGCCGTGGTCATGGCAAAATACAAGGCATAATCTGGACAGAAAAGAGCTACACGATGCATCTATTCCTTACACTTTGCGCATTTGGGAGCAATGTAGCCTCTGTGGCTGGTTTTCGACCCCCGGAGCTTCGAGTTGTGACTTCTTCTGGTTCTTTGAATGGGATATATATAACGATTCTGCACATACAGGACGGGCGTTTATTGGAATTCCATATGCCGAACCCCCAGTCCAAGAACTACGATGGGCACCACCACCCCCCAAATCACCACCCCGAAGGCCTATCGATGCATCCTCCTTTAGAAGTCCCTGCCCACAAGTCTATACGTACTCCAATGAGTTTATTTGGAGTGTTCTCCCGTATAATATAGGGAACCCTGGAGCCATGTCTGAAGACTGTCTGTATATGAACATCCGGGCACCTTCCATCAAGCATCGAGGCCTCGGGGGATTTCACAGAGCACCAGTGATGATGTTCATTCACGGAGGAAGCTGTAACACAGGAGTTAGTTCGGATGCTTCCTATGATGGCACGAATTTGGTACAGAATCACAATGTAATTGTTGTTACCATCAAGTACGGGGATGCTGAGCTTTGTCCATGCAAATCAATAAACTTCTTAGTTATCACCTCAATGTCTTTAGATTTGCTAATGCACCGAGCATCGATCCTTCCAAGCAAAACCTTGGGTTCCTAGACCAGGTAAATCTCGACAGTGGATGGATGATAGTATGTGTCCCCTCCGGGAATCTGTGAAGTAAGAGGACATGACATTCTCACGTTTCAATTGTTGCATGTATCTAATCTTCATGGAGAATTCGATTGAGTCAGCGTGTGCCCACTTGGAGGTATCTATATCATGGCAATTTTAGCAATCTCAGCCCAACTCCATGACTTGGAGCATACCACGGGGGTAAGACGGAACAAGGCTCTCCTTGCTAATTTGATTTAACATGATGACAGCTGAGGTACCTCTTGTTTTTGGAAATTATGATATATCCACGACAATCCCCGAGGAAATTGAAGCCAGCCGATACATGCAAGGTAATCCCTTCCCAGATGACTGGTAGGAATTGCCTAGATTGACCAATTTCCTAGGAGCCTGGGTTGCATTTGCCAACAACCCTCGTACAGGACTGATCACATATGGATGGCCAAGGTTCAGCTTCGATGGTAGATGTCCTCTTTCCATATTTAATTCCCGAAGCTGATCATAAGCGATAGAGCCAACCTTGATGATCTTTACTTCTGCTAGTTCATGGGATATTGTGACACTCCCCATACTGACCCATGCGATTGGCAATGAGTTGTGCTACAATGCTAGGGCTAGGTCTTTTCAGATCTTGCAAGGTGTTCCGTTATATACCGAATATTGCACATAGACAAATGTGACACAGATATGCAGAGATTAGCTACCTTTTGAAGGCTATCTAGGTATATACCTCATACTACCTCGGCAGTGACCTCGGCGACCTCGGGACCGGGAATTGCTTTTAGTAAGCATAGATGCCTTTTATGTAAATATTGAAATCTTGACATATTTGAATATTTGCATATCTAGAAAAGAAAAGAAAAATAGAAAAATGAAGTATGAGGTTGCATAATCAATTTAAAGTATGTTTCCCCAGATCAAGGTTGACGATCCGGAGCCGAGTGAGTGAAGCGAATTTGAAGCCAAAATAAGCGAAAACTGCGAAAATGCCCGAAAATGAGTCCGAAGGGCATTTTACCCGTGTCTTTTCGTATCTTTTAAATTCTTTTGGGCTTAGTCCCCCTTTTTCTCGCACTCAGTTTCTTCCTCGCTTAATCGCAACTCCACTTGGGCCTCGCGGATGCACCCAGTCCTTCTTGGCATTACTGCACTTGATTGTATAGCCATATAAAATGTACCTGGTCTCTATACGGCCTCCTGGGTTAATATGGTCCACCCTCCTCTAAAACTTCCCCAAGGTCATCTAAAAAAATCCATCTCCCATTTGCCCAACTCTATTATGCTTAGAAATGTCATTTTACCGTCCAGGGATCCCCGGTGAATTACGTGCTTTTCTACGAAAACTCTGACCGTTTTATCTGCCGGACATTTATCGTAAATCTTATTCCATCCGTCATCATCCTCGGATCCGGACTGTTCCTGTCTCTTTCTCTGAATATAATCTTGCTTTTACTAAAGCCCTGAATATCCTGACTATCCTGACTATCCTGACTATCTTGACTATCTTGACTATCCTGACTATCCTGCATCCCCTGAATCCCCTGAATATCCTGAATATCCTGAATACCCTGAATACCCTGGATCCTCCCCCCCCCCTGTGACTCGATCCAGGCCCCATCATCTTTTCAAATGTTGCCTCCCGTGCCAGATCCTGCCGAGTTTGGAGTTACATCCGACTATGGTTTCCTCTCCCCAGACCTTCCCCTAGAGGTTCTCCCCGATCCTTATTATGCCGAATGGGAGATGATTGTTGGGAATCTCCAGCCATTGATATTAAGCAAACGCCTACAGTCGATGGTGGACCATCTCCCTATACTCTCTGTCATACATTTACGGTCCGAGGCTGAGTGGCGTCGCGCATATGTTGTACTGGTGTTCATACTCCATGGTTATGTATGGGGTGGCGATTCGCCCACAGAGGTACTGGCCCTTCCTATTGGTCCAAGGTGCTATACTGATCCTTTCTCCAGAGGATTCCACCTCAACTTACAGTACCCTTATTCGAAGTCTGTGAACGACTCGAGTTACCCCCCGTTGCCACCTATGCGGGAGTCTGCCTGTGGAATTACAAGCCCATCTTCTCCGACGAGCCAGCCACCAACCTGGATAACCTAGCTTGCCTACAAACCTTCACTGGATCTCTAGATGAACAATGGTTCTACTTAGTTTCAGTTGCCATAGAAGCACGTGGGGCTCCTTCTATTCCCCTGATGCTTCGGGCTATCGTGGCGGCCCGCACGGGCAACAGCCAGGTTGTAACCGAGTGCCTGCAGCGACTGGCAGAAACCATCGATGAGACCGTCATGCTGCTGCAAAGGATGTATGAAAATTGTGATCCATATGTCTTCTACAATCGCATACGCCCTTACCTAGCTGGAAGTAAAAACATGTGTGATGCCGGATTGCCAAATGGGCTGCTGTACGACGACGGCCACAATCCCGAGTACCGACAATATGGAGGGGGCAGCAATGCCCAAAGCTCACTCATCCAATTCTTCGACATTGTCCTCGGAGTGGAACACCGACCAACCGGGACCAGTCGCAGTGATGAGCAAAGCAAAGGGGACGGTGTCAAATCACGAAACAGCTTCATCCACGAAATGCGTACCTACATGCCTGGCCCACACCGGCGTTTCCTTGAGCAGATCGACTCGGTAGCAAACATCCGCCCTTTTGTCGAGGCCCGACGCGGAGACTCCGCGCTGTGTATTGCCTACGACGCATGTCTAGCCATGCTGCGTGTTCTACGCGATAAACATATCACGATAGTATCACGCTATATTATCCTGCAATCCCGCAGTGCACGCCAGCCTTCTCAATCTACCAACCCAGCCCCTTCAGCAGTGACGAACCTTGCAAGCGCGGCTCCGACCGACAAGAAGAAGCTGCGGGGTACCGGTGGCACCGCACTCATTCCGTTCCTGAAGCAAGCTCGAGACGAGACTGGGGAGCCTGCTATTGATGCCTGGGCACGACGGTTGCTGACCAATGGCCCCGTTGACAAGAACTTTGCTTCGCTGAGCAAGGTTGGCGAACAACCAGATGGTCATCTCGAGGTTGTCGGTCTCTGTGGTACATGGACCGCCGATGAAAATGAAGGTGGAATCTGTCACTGGTAGTTTATTTTTACTTTTATTTTTTCTTTCTGGTCTTTCTTCGAGCGTGGCATTGCATGTGGGATTTTATGTACGCCGTACGCGGCGACTCGGTGTTTGGGAACTTGCATGGTTTGATATGATTTTTTGAACTGGTCATTATGAAATTCATTATGAAATACATTCCTATCTGGATATTTAGTTATGGACAATATGCTCACCTGTATACAATATTGTAGAAAATTTCAACCCAACAAGGTTTGATATGACGGTTATCCCTCGATGTGAACAACCGTCATTCAGTGGACCTGACTTTCACGTGATGTGACATCATTCTCGCTGAAATACACGTGATATGATATCACACAATGACGTAGTTCATCATGACATTGTTGTAGAACTTCAATCTTGGAAGATCAGATTGGAGAAGCCACTAGAATATGTGGCTTGTAAAACATGGCTTATATATACCAGGGACCTTCCTGCCACTTTCATTTTTCACTTCAACAATTAACTTCCTTTAACCATCTCTGATCTCCACCATCTCTCATCTCTACCATCTCTCATCTCTACCATCTCTCATCTTTACCTATCAAACAAATTTCATCAAATTTCATCATGTCTGATACCGGCAACGCCTCAACTGGTCAGTCCTACCTCGACCAAGCCACTGGTCTTGCTCAGCGTGCCATGGGCACCGTGACTGGCGATTCTTCCACTCAGGTAAGCATCCACTCCAGTCCCCAACATTCTCAACCGCAACACTAACCAATCTCAGGCCAAGGGCGAACTCAAGCACGAGGAAGGCCAAGCCAAGAAAGAAGCTTCCCACACAACCGCCAAGTTGGGTCCCTTCACCGCCGACCCCAACACCGGAGCCGTTGCCAAAGACGACCCCAAGCGCGACACAGGATCCTGGGACCAGACTGTTGGTTCTGCCAAGGAGTCGTTTGGCAACCTGGTCGGAAACGAGAACCTGCGCCGCACCGGAGCTGAGCAGAACGCCGCTGGCAAGGAACAAGAGGCCAAGGGTCAGCTCAAGGACTGGGGCGAGGGCCTTCAGAACCGCGCTCAGGGTACCCTTGGATCCATTGGTGCCGCTGTCACTGGTAACCGCAGTGAGGAGGAGAAGTACCGTGATATTCATGATGAGGGCAAGGTCCGCCAGCGCGGTGCCGAGGCCGACATCGCTAAGAAGGGTGGTGTTTAAACTTGACTTCGAGATGACCTCTTGAGTTCTGTTTTCATCACACTTGTTTTATTATCACGATTTTTACGATGGCCTTGCTATGATATCCGAATTGATGCCTCGTTTCTATTCTACTCTATCCTCTTGTAATAGTGTAGCCACCAAAACCACTCCTTGTTGGATAATCTATCTCCCATGTTGATTGCTAGCAGACAGCAATTGTTTGCTAGACTTCATGGTACATACCCTGCGCTTTCTCATATATTGAAAGAGTATTTTCCCTCCTTCCTCTCTCCCATAGTAACCACAACACTTTATTGTTACCACCTTTTAGGGCTCTTTTGAGATAGAGTGATTTCAATGATTATATCTTGTTTGACAAGTCTCGTGTAAAATCCACATGAATCAGCATCTCAAGTTTTCTCTGCAATGCTACATCGTACATTTCCCCGCAGAATGAATTCTCCGAGGATCTTAGGGCTTTTCCCCGCTGGCATCTGATCCCGCTGAGACCGAGGTTGTTCAACGGGGGACTGAAAATGGAATTTTAACCATTAATTTATCAATTCAGGTAGTATATTTTGGGGGACTGAAAATGGAATTTTAACCATTAATTTCTCAATTCACGTAGTATATTTTCATCGCGACTAACGAGATATTATTCTAGATCGGCAGGCCAAGACAAGAGGGGGGGGGGGGTTAAGCATTTGATATACTATAGACCCTGCCCCGTCTAAATGAACTGCCATTTTTGTCTTGTCTACTATTTTGACAGAATGAGACTCACGGCTGCTTTACTCTTTGTCGGAACGGCCTGGGGTGCCCAACACCATCACCGACGGGATACGGACAATGGCATCAATCTTAGTGCAATCTCAAGCGCACTGTACTTGACTCTTCTGGATCGTTTTGAGGAATATACTCACATTTCTACAGACAGCATCTGATGGGCAACACAACAGCCACTGCAAACTTTGCCAACATCTCGCCGCCACCTAGATCGCTCATCCCCGAGATTCTATCGGTCGTACCCGTATCGGTCATCTGGGAACTCGTCAACCCAGCGGAGCGCAGCTCCCTTGCCAGTCAATTTAAGGCCGGTACTACCCCCGCCTGGTACGGCGCCCTCCCATCGGACGTGAAAGACTACATGTCGGTGGTCAAGTCACAAATCTCTGCGGGGGCATTGACAGCCACAGCGTCCGAGGATAAGCCCACGGCAGCAAATACGGGGGCAGCGACAGCAACTGCGACCGATGGTACTTCTGGGGCCAGCTCGACTTCGTCTAAAGGTGCGGCTGCACAGCCCACGGGGTTGACCGTGTCAGCATTGGGGGCGCTGGGAGTGCTTGGACTAGCACTAGCTCTGTGATCCACATTGCGTGTTTAGATATGACTGTGACGAGATTTGATTTCCGAAAGACCGTTTCAATTTTGCATATGAAATTCGAATAATTCCTTGATTTTTCTCTCTGGATCTCAGGATTCTTATTAAATTAACAATGACGAAGTGGCACTCTATAGACATGGGCTTTGATCTTTCGTAGATCCTTACTCGATCCTCTCCGAAGTGGAGAGGAGAAACAAAGGTCACTAATCTGGGAGAAAAGAGGATCAACATGACGATCTTCTACTAAAAAGGTGACATCCTGGGGAGGAAATGGCCGGGGAAATCCTGATATCTCCCATTCGCCATTTATTTCTCTATCTCTCACATGGCATTGCTTATCCCTCGGTCTCAGGTCACAACGCTACGTGCTCTCGGACAATTTTCCAGGCTTTACACTGAGAAATATAGGAATATCTTATAAGACACTGGCTGTTTTTGTCTCCCCATTCTTCACTTCAATACAACAATACAAAATATGCGTTTCTCACTCCTTTTCCCTTTGGCCCTGGCCCCCTTGGTTCTAGCTGCCCCCGAGCCTCGTCCCAACCCTGTCGCTGCACCGGCCCCGGTCGCCACTAGTGGTCTACTGGAGGAGCTTCCCGAACTTCTGAGTGGCGTTCAGGGTCTCTTAAGCACCGAGAACATCGACAAGTTGGACACTATCCTTGACGGTGCGGCCAAGTTGCTCGCCGCCGATAATATCGATATTTTGCAGGATATCTTGAAGAATGCCCACAGTTTGTTGACCAAGAGCTTTGTCGATAACACAACTACCCTCATTGGGGATGCCACACCGGTAGGCCCTTTTTTTTATTTTTTTTACTTTTGCTTTTTGCACTCTACTGATGCACGATATAGTTGGTCGAGGATATTTCCAAGCTTCTGGGTGGTGTGCTAGGATCACTGTGAGGAATAAAATGAATGAATCATGACAATTACTATATTTATCTTGTTGTATTGCACAATTTTAAAGAATTGGAAGATGTGTATCGAAAATCAATGAATGGAACAAATACACAAGAACAATCACATATCTCATAACGATCGGGTATATACAAACATTAGACTAAGACCAATTCTTAATTCACATTCATCTTCTCCTTGAGTCGATTCTGGTAGAATTTCAAAGGGTATGCCCGCCATTTATCAGGCATCGCCGGGTAAAGAGCCACCGAGAAGCCCATCCAGGTACGGTAAAGGGCTCGAGTGGTAACCGTCGAGCGCAAACCGTAGGCATCACGCAGACGTGGGGGCAGCATCTCAGTCGTAATCACATGCAAGAAAGGCTTCAAAGACTGCACCCAGCGCGGCATATCGTTGCTTTCACGGAGATCCTTGGCAAACAGAGCCGCATCCTCCGAGACAGTCAACCGAGGAATCTGATCATCCCAGTAAGCCCAGAATGCCTGGCGGGATTCCGGCCAGATATTGGCGGGGACACCTAGGCAGTTCATGAGCAAGGCATACTCGCTGTATGCACGCTGGGCACTGGCGTAGTCAACGCGGCCATAGACACGCTGGTAGAAATCGGTCGCGGTCGCGTACACCGTCGCCGCCATCCACAACTGCAGCGGTGGATGCTCAGAGAACCGATTCGAACGACCGCTGCCCAGCAGGGGCGGCTTACCGTCCTGTAGGAGATCGATGAGAGCCTTGCGCTCGTCGCGGGTACCGAAGACCAAGCAAGAGATGTAGCTGATATTGGCCTGGAGGGCATCGAGGAGCTCTGTTGCTAGCTCCTTGTGTCCACCGTTATTGGGGCCTGCGTCGCGGATTCCAGGCATGGCAGCTTGCAGTAGCAGCGTCGCACCAGATCCTGCAAAGAGAATACCCTCCTGGAGCATCTTAGGAAGGACCTCTAACTGTTCCAGGGCATGGAGACAACCTGAGGTATTGGTGGTATTGCTTACGGTCGCATCGGAGCCACTTGGAAGATCATTGAGGGACTTCTCATCCACTGGGGAGACGGGCGATGGAAGGAAAGACATGGTTGGAGAGTTGTCAATAGCGAAGATTGGTAGTATATGATCCCATTAATATTCTAAAAGCTTCAATTCAAATCTTCCCCAGAAAAACCCCCCCCGCAAAACCCCGAACAACCCCAAGAAATCGTGTTCGAAGAGATGTCGATCATCTCGGCCCATGTGAATAGTGTCGCCTTTCTTAGGAACAAGCCGCGGCTGGAAGTAGATCGCCATCTCCTGAAGTGCAGATCTCTCCCCTCTTCTGCGTCATTCGCCAAAGAAAGCAATCCTCCTCCGAAAAACCCGCTTTATTTCCCTTTTTTTTCTTGTCCACGGGGTCCCGCTTCGGTGTACGAAGTATGGGGAAAAGAAGGAGTCCGGATGTGTTGGGTCTGTTCTGCGCTAAATACATATACGCGGAAACCTCCCCCTTAAGCTCACCAAGTCATTGCGATCATGGGCAAAAATACAGATACCCCAACATATCTGACTTCAGATGATGCCAGATACACTCTAGGTATTCACCGTGGCCCATTGATCTCCAAGGACGATGAAGGTGCCCAGCTCGCACATGTCGAGTCGGTCGGGGGTCTGTCGTTAGAGACGAGGAAGCTGAAGCGCACTGAAAAGTTCCAGCGCCATTGGAAGCGATTCTGGTGTCTGCATCTTTTGGTGACTATCATCTTCCTGGCGATTTTCCTGCCTGTATTGTGAGTGGCCCAGCTATGCCCCCCCCCCCCAAAAGAACAATAACTAATTGCAAGTATAGCTTCCTGGTTGCCATTCCAGCCATATCACAGATGGTGGTGAACAAGTCCGACCTAGTATTGGTCAATGCCTCGGTTCTAAACCCGCGACCGGACAAAATTGAATTGACGCTGTTGTCGGCAGTGGATCTCAAAATTGCACTACCAGTACGCATTGAACCGATCACGTTAGATCTGTTCGTGCGCGATGCGGGGGCAGAGAATGCATGGGGCCAGGCTAAAATCGATGGCAAAGTCATCAAGGGCCACTCTACCTTAGGTGTGTCCAAGGTCGAGACGCCACTGACCAACTTGACCACCTGGGGGGAGTATGTGCATAATGTCGTGTTCGAGAAGGAGACTGCGCTGTCAGTCAGAGGTGTAACCAATTCATACTTGGGTGTACTCAAGGCCAAGGTCACTTTGGACAAGAATATCATGTCGCCAGGTAAGCCGAAAGAAACAAATCACCATTAGAAAGGAAGCTAACTTCATTCAAGTGCTGGATCAATTCAAAAAATTCAGTATCGCCGACAGTGGATTGATTCCAGCCCTTGAAGACGGCTCCAACCTAGTTGGGAATGCCACGCTTCCCAACCCATCCGTGTTGACTCTCGACATTGGCACAATTGTCCTCGATGTGAAGAGCGGCGACCTCGTCATTGGAAATGCCACTCTCAAAGACGTCACCATCAAACCAGGCGACAACGTCTTCCCTTTAACCGGAATCCTCGACATACACACAATGATCGAGAACCTCGGAAAGGTGCTTGCGTCGCAGGCAAATGCCCTCAAAACCGGCAACTTGGCCCTGGATACCGTAACCCGAACCGTCACCTGGAATGGCACGCTGGTGCCATACTACACCAAGGCGATGAAGGAGCTGACGCTGACGGCCAACGTACCAATCGCCGATCTGATCAAGAACACTGTTCACAACCTGCTCAGCGGCAATCAATCTCTTACAGACATTCTCAAATCAGGGGGCGACACGAGCACGCTGCTAGATGACCTTACAGACAGCACTGATGACAGCGACACCACCAGCTCAGCCTCCGACCTTGCATCAAAGATGAAGACGAGCGTGGCGGTGCGGGATCTGTTCCGTGGGGCTCACCCGGTCAAACGGGATTCAATCATCGACTTGTTAGCCGGGACGTACATGAAGCTGTGAAATGTCAATCCCATTTCACTTATGCTCTTTCCTGCTTTGTTTGTCTCTTTTGGGCATTTTACGTTTCCTTTTCTTGTCAATAAAGGTCTCCGGATTCTGGGTTCCTTGTACATGATTGCGAAGTGCTCGCGCGCTGATGCCTAGACGATACTTGATTCCCCTTTGGATTGTGGCAGCTGGCTTTTTTTTTTTTTTTTTTTTTTTTTGGGATGGCGTTGTAGGAGTGTGCTGCTGTCTTTCTATCTTTAGAGATAAAGATAGGCCTTAATGTTGTTTTTCCTGTCGAATTCATTCTTCAGGCAGTGCATCGGTGAGCTCGTGTACTTTCTGTACACATGGCTGCCTGTCGGTCTGGGCTTGGGTCGGTGCAGATGATAATGCATAAATTATAAATTATACGACGATACGAACGGATCTGATTCTTGCTTTGTATCTTCAAAATGACTTGCTCAAACAACTCCACGTCTTTGAATTGGGTAAATTAACAGAATATGTGAAAGTTAAGGAATTGAGAGTCCACCCGGGCACTCCGCGGGCGTCAATATTGACGGTTAGGGCTTCCCGGGTTGGGGAATGATAAATTGGAGCACATGCATATAGGGCTGTGTTGAACATCTCAATTCCTACGGTATCCAATTGATTGTAAGTAAATTTTCAATGGTAAATCCAAGGAGTTTGCTGCCCAAGGCCTCCCGAGTGCCCGAATTGACTCTAGTGCTGAAAGAGAAGCATGCACGACCTCGTATACTAAGTTTACTGTGTGCTGATGTAAATTTTAATTTGTTCTTTTTTATTAATATTGGCTTGTTGGCATCTATCGTCGTGTGACAGCTAGTTTTATACCCTGTCTAGGTTGAGTTATGCAACGTCCTTCTAATCTCGATCCCGTCTCCCACGCAGATAGTACCCGCGGTTGATATCCATGTAAAAAGGCGGTGCTTCTTCCACGAGATTGCTTGAAGGGGAAAACGGAGGTGGTGGTTTCAGTGTCCTTGGGAATAGTTCCCCGGGATCCTGGTGATGTGCACGAGAGGTAACAGGTGGAAGATCTGTCGTAATAGGAATTTGAAAATGAGGATCAAAGCTAATGAGGATAAGAGCTTGTTGATTTGGGGGAAGTCCAGGGGCATCAATTGAGTAGATGATTGAGCGTTCATCTGCAGTACTTTTCACGGATCCAATGCGCGGACCTGGACAGAGCAATTGTTGTAATGCAGGCGGGGCGTCATCTGGAGGCCACATGTGCACGCCACGACACTCAAAGCGTTCCTCGGAACCTTCAATAGGACGGCCATCTTGGTCCACTTGGGTGGGCTGGAACAGTCGGTTGCGAGGTCCCTCAATTCCCTCCTCGTCAATGGGACTTTTGCGCTTGCGCGACACTGTACGGAGACGGATCCGATCTCGAGATCGCAGATTATCACCGGCAGGGTCATTGACAATGTCCACAAAGGTAGATGCACCGAGATGGTAGCTTCTGTGTTTAGTGCGAGCTGGGATGAATTCCTGTCGCTTTGTAGAGCCAGACTCGTACTCGGCATGGTAATGCCGCCGCAACCTTTTAGCAGGCCGCTCATCGTAGGGGTGTTCGTTCTCAAGATCATAATCCATGGAAACCCAAGATGGAGTTTCGATGGCGCCCCCTGAAAGAGGCGCTAGGGCTTCCTCTGGCGTGGGAAGTCGCTGTGTGTAGTATGTACGGTGGTTTTCGCTCTTGCCATCCCGCCACTCACGGCGACATTCAAGTATGACTGGCCGGCCAGTCGTTTCGTCCTTGCGGATTGAAAGATCAGTCCACATCTCATTGATAGGGCCTTCTTGATGCTCTCGGCGCCAGAAGCGACCGTTCCATTTGCGGCCATCTTCGCGAGGGGCATGGCAGAACCAATGGTAAAAAGAGGAGTGTACTTCATCGTCATCTGAGGCAACCTGAGTTGAAACCGCATAGAGATGCTCATCATGCATTTCAAAACACAGTGTTTGGCCAAGATCGCCATCGACCACTCGGTCGAGAGGGAAGTTGATAGGTTCACCCGATTCGAGATCCACACCAGTGATACACCACACCCCATCCGAACCATCGGCGGCGGTAAATGTGCCATACCATATGTAGGATCCACTGTGTCGTACAAAGATTGGTGCGGATGCTGGGATGGTCTTACGGAGCAGGAGACGTCTCTGTGCCCGGTGGGTTTCCCGCCACGCCATGTTGATTACGAACAACGCGTCCTCGGTCGCGTTCACCTCGGCCACTCGGAACACGAGAATATCATCGCTGTAGCTCAAGAGGGTAACCCGGTCTGCTACATCCGGCTCCGCGGGACCGGTTACCAGGAAACTAGGGATGACCTCGCGGAGATCCATGACACGCTCCCTGGATGTAGTACCATGCACGTCCAGCACCCGAATCCAATGGTCAGAGCGGTAACATAGGTAGCCTTGGTTGTACAGAAATTCGGCCCCGTAGCCTAAGCAGACCACGGAATACGGATTTGCCGTGGCGACGGCCTCGTGGATAGCAAGCCGATGCCCGACGGCTTTGCGAAACCCAGACTGGGCCGCTATAGCAGTCTGACCTTCTTTGCTATGGAGTAAAACATTCTGTAAACCAGGGTCAGCATTGTAATTTGAGCAAGGGGGCTTGACTTGAGCTTACCTCGACGGTTTTGCGGGCAATCTGTTCGCTTTGCGACAGAGAATAGAGAGCACGATTGGTGCGACTGAGGTTCACAAAATCACGGTCGTCCAGCGAGGTCGCGATCTGGTAAAACACATCAAATGGAAGAGTGTCCAGACTCTGTTGAGTGGGCATGGCTATAAAAGTGGCCAAATATTCAAGTAATCAAGGGAGAGAGAGTCTCAGACAAAAGGGCGACTGCCGAAAAAGAAAAAAAAAACAAAGCAAAACGAAGTCCATATCTCAAATTCATAGATATGGAAGGAAGGAACCCGATTTATGTTTCAGGAAAGTGAGATAGGAGAACCTTGCGGAGGTTGAGGCTCTAAAAAGGATTGGTTCCGCATGAGCTACCATGGAACACCCCCCTTCTCGTATACCAAAAAAACCTTGGAACCGTAAGAGCCTCAACAAGGCTAGACCGAAAATGGCAAAAGCCTTGAATCTCTTGGAGTCTCCAGAGCTTCCAGGGTTGGAATGTTCCAGGGATATTAAGCGTAAGAAAGAGTACGAGTAGATCTCCCCCGGATCACGCAATTGTCATCACAGGGGGGGCTGAGATCTTTTGAGGCTCTCGTGGTGTTTTGGTTTCGGATTACACCCAACATCTCCGAAATTCGCGGCTCATCCCGTCTCCATTTGGCCTAATACATGGACACGATCTTCTCGTGACTCGGATTAGGTGGGGTCCGCAGCTTCTATCCAAGACCCTTCGTATTGGATCTTCGGTGCATGTGTGGCTCCGGGGTATGATAGCTTGAATAGTTACTACTATGCACTTACTATGTACTCCGTAGTACTCCGCAGTACTCCGTAACCCGTATAGACCTTATCATTGACTTCATTAAACAGAACATGAAGAGCCGCATGGACGCGTTTCTTCCAAGCCACCGCCTCAGTGGCAAAATTAGTCTCACCTACGCACTTTGCTGCATGCTACCTCAGTTGCCCAGCTATTCTGAATCTAGCTCTTACTCCGAACCTCCGTACTACTTTCTTACTTTGAATGTTTTTCGTCGTAATCAGGTACCGTCACGTGAGGGTTGAAAAAGTCGCTGCCTAATCGATGCAGCCTGAGGCTTGGACGGTTTGGTTTCTTTAGTTTCTTGGTTTCTTGGTTTCATTATTACATATTATATATTACAACGGAGGCTGTCATTGGAGATGAATAATATGAACTAGAGTGATTTACCTGCAGCCCTAACGGTGGATCCCCAATATCTCTTTGTACCTTGTATGCATTGAAATTGCCCAGGCACTAAACTTGTGTAGGGAAGGTGTAAATGTCCTATTTGCGTGACCCACCCATGTCAGCCGAATTACTTTTAAGCTGTTCAACTTCTTCTTTTCTCTCTTCCATCTGGGGATTGTATACTAGTCTTGATGTATTATCCGCCTCACGCTCCCCCTCCCGGACAAGGGTCTCAATGGGGAGGATATCAACAACCTCCCCAATGGCAGCCGCAGCCCTATGCTCAGCCCTACGGGTATCATCGACCCCAATCATCTTATTCGGCTCCTAGTCATTCCCCCTATCCATCGCCTTATCCTCATCCTTATCCCCAATATCCACCCTCTCCTACCCCGCCATATGGCCATACTCCATCTCCTCGCCCTCCCTCCCACCAGCATACTTTGAGCGCCCCCCAGAATGGTAAAGTTCCATATGCCACGAAAAAGAAAAAAGTTGGGCATCACTGACCATTGAACAGGATTTCCTCGTGCAAATTCCCCGAATCTGCCCCCAGCCCCACCACAGAACTTTCAGCAATTCGGGGGAGGGGCTCCCTCAAACTACAAGTTCCAGTACTCGGCCTGTACCGGTCGCCGCAAGGCTTTGTTGATTGGAATCAACTATGCCGGGCAGCCTAATGCACTCCGAGGCTGTATTAACGATGTCACTAACATGTCCAACTTCCTCACCCAGAGATTCGGGTATAAGCGAGAGGACATGGTCATTCTCACCGACGACCAACGGAACCCGATGAGCCTCCCCACCAAGGCCAACATTCTACGTGCCATGCAGTGGCTCGTCAAGGATGCCCAACCTAACGATTCCTTGTTCATCCACTTCTCCGGTCACGGAGGTCGTACTCCCGATCTGGATGGAGACGAGGACGATGGATTCGACGATGTCATTTATCCACTGGACTACCGCGTTGCCGGCCACATTGTCGACGATGATATGCATGACATCATGGTGCGTCCACTGCGACCCGGAGTGCGATTGACGGCGATCTTCGATTCGTGCCACTCGGGTACTGCCTTGGATCTGCCGTACGTCTACTCGACGCAGGGTGTTCTCAAGGAACCCAACCTGGCCAAGGAGGCAGCTCTGGACTTGTTCAGTGCATTCAATTCGTATGGACAGGGCGATCTTTCCAGTGTCGCCTCGACAGCGATCGGGTTCTTCAAAAAGGCAGCCAACGGCGGATCGGCCCGTGAGCGCACAATTATGACCAAGACCTCTCCGGCCGACGTGGTGATGTTTTCAGGGTCCAAGGATACACAAACCTCGTAAGTGGGCGTAGCTTTATAATTTCAAGGTAATAAGGATTCAAGCTAACCCCGAAATAGAGCCGATACGTTCCAAGACGGACAAGCGCGTGGTGCATTGAGTTGGGCGTTTATCAAATCACTGCAACAGTGGCCCCAGCAGAGTTACCTGCAGCTATTAAATACGATCCGAAATGAGCTCGAGGGCAAATACTCCCAGAAGCCGCAACTGAGCTGCAGCCATCCTCTTGGTAAGTTAATAAATAAAAAAATCTTTTTTTCTTGTAGCTGACTCAAGATCGACAGATGTCAATCTCCGCTTTGTGATGTAATCGGAGAGTTTTCACCTGGCCCCTTGGCACTTATGACTGAAATGTAGCAAATGAATCACCTGAGACCCATGTGCGGGGAAGTATGTTACCATGTGTGTAGTATTGTAGTATTGTAGCTGTAATACAAAATAAAAGAGAGTAATATAGTTCAATCCGATCCCGCATGTTCCACTATGGGCTTGTCTGTGTGGTTCTGTGGATCCTCGGCAAAAATGGGCAAGTGTTTAAATGTTTTTTTTTCCTCTTCAATAACTTGAGGGTTGTTATATCATGAGTACTTCTAAGACATTTCCCTCCAAAGTTCTTGAATAGTAAATGTCTCAGATTCCATATCTGATTCTATAAAAAAGTATAGAGCCATGGCGCCATTCCCCTCCCCCCCTGAGCGGAAATCGGACCAATCAACAATGAGGAATCCACGATTCCCGGTGGGAACCGTGGATGCACTGTCTCTGCCCCTTGGTAAATGTCGCAACACGGGCTATTTTTTTATTTTTATTTTTGCTTTGCGTATGGGAAGGACGTGGAAGGGGACGTGGAAGGAACCCCAGGAGCGTGAAGAATGTAACATTATTCTAAACAAGATCGTGGCTTTTTCCTGCCGCGTCATTGGAAGACGATACAATCTGATAGACCCATTGTTTTTCTTCCACATGGACAACCTTCTACTATTTACATAGCAGATCGTAGTGTAAATAACAATGCTCCGTAATGAAGAGTCTAATAATAGTCAATAAGATCTACTCCATACCCTTTAAACAGTAACATCCCCTATATTACATGTCATCTAAGTGTTACGGGACTAAAGTGTCCATGTCTCTGATCCACTTTTGGTCTTTTTCGGAATTCCATCAGAATACGGGCCCTTTTTGGCTCTTTTTTTTTTTCTCTCTCTTCTTCTCTCTTTCTGACAGATCACCTTTTGAAGCCATGTTGATTTCATCTACAACAAACAGTTCCTATTCCTCCAGTGTCTCTTCTGAGCCTCATCCTTCTCCATATCAACATCCCCCCGCATCCACACTTTCACTCAACTCCCGCCGAACCCGAATGACTGTCAAATACCCCCGGTTTTACTCGTCCCCCGTGGATGAAGAAACCGAGTCAACCCCTCTACAAGTCTATGGCCTAGAGCAGCGAGAACCTTCCATCTACGACAAACCTCCCAAACTGTTCCGCCGGGTCTCGCACGTTCTAGGCGATATCCGTGAAGACTTCTCCATGGACGCCCGTCAAACCACCGAGAAGCTCAAGCGTCGCTCAACCATGTTCTCCGACGGGCCCGGTTTGAGTGCTCCTCCATCACGCTCAGCTCCAATGACATCCCACGGACCTCCGCGGTCGCGGCCAATATCCATCATCTCCTTCGACAATTGGTCTGCTCCCAAACGAGGAATGAGCCAGCGAATTTCCCGCCGGTTGTCGGTTTTCTCTTTGCGGGGCAAGCCAGCCAGCACTAAGGGAGCCAGCATCTCCTCGCCGAATCTAATCGGTTCATCAACTCAATACGGAAACAGGAGCCAAGCTTCCTTCATTTAATGACCGGATGTGACGATCATAAAGAAAAAGAAAAAAAAAAAAAAAGAATTGCCATCTATGAACATGGGACCATGCAATACGCGGCTATTCATACAGAAGAGGGGGTGTTACGGTATAATCATTCAATTTGGACCTTTTGCTTTTTCTGCATCTGCTATATCCATCATTTTTTGGGGTGGACAGCGATCATTTTGATTTTATTAATCGCTAGTTCATGTTTGGGGGTTTTGTATCTACTCTCTACTTGACCTGCGCATAGCTCGGTGTTTTGGGATGATTTTTGGGATGTCTGGCTTTCTGGATTATGTGAATTAATGGGTTTTTTGCTCCTTGACATATCAGAATAATATATCATATCCAGAACCCCTTGAATGCTACATTGCTCTCGAGTCCAATAAATAGCACGCTAATTGCGCCACCATGCAGCCGGCATTTCACTTTAAACCAAGTAACTGCCGGGACTAACGTGCGCCAGCCCGTCAGCCAATGTCTAAAAAATAAAGGCTAAAAACGTCCATTAATTATTCCAAACGCGACCGCTATATGAAACGGAAAACTCTCAAGTACCCGTCAAACATACCGAGATGGGAAGAATGATCTGGGATGCACGGCAAACTAGCCGTGTTTGGAATGCCCTTGTGATTCGTTAAAAGAATGCTTGGACATAGAGGGATCCAGGAATAGAATATCAAAATCAAGTAATTAGTCCAAACCCGAATATGGGTTATTTTTTATCTATGTCCTTTCGTCAGGCCAATTCATTGCATATAGGATCCGTTACTGAAACAGCTTACTAGCTATTAATTCCGTGCATGTACTCTATCGCTGCATATGAATATGTACATAATTCCACAGGTTGTTGGAACGTAGTCTTACGCTCCGCTGAACGTTGAACACAAAGTCCTTCCACTATATACTCATGGCTTTGCAAAGTCTACCACAGTCAAATCCTACGTTTGCCTCTCTCCCTCGGTCCATTCCACATGCTCTGCCATCTCGACGGGCAAAACTATCTTGCCAGCCGCTCTCTCGAACTCTTCGTCTTCGCGATCAATGTATTTCTGCGGGCGTTTTTGGCAGATAGCATCCGGATCTCCAGACACAATCAACGATGGGTTGGTGCGGTAATAGGCATCAAGGTCCTCCAGACTCCGGTTGGCTACAATGACAGTAAGTAAGAGCAAGAACAGGGGAGAGTATCGAGCATACCTGTTTCCGGGTAGAAGAAGTAGAGGATAGGTAGGAAAGCAGCATTGGTCACCGTCCAGACAATCCAAAACTTCCAGCCAATACTCTGAATTCCGATTGGGGTGATCTCCACGACGATGAAGTTTGTGAGCCTGTACTTTGTCAAAAAAAAATCCCAATGAAGTATACCCGCCACTCAGATACGCACCAGTCAGTGGCAGTTGCAGCTGCAGCACCCTTTGTCCGCATCGGTAGGGAGTTGATCTCAGTGGGATACAACCAAGGCACCCCCAGCATGCCGATACCAAATGCCCCAAAATAAAGGAAGAAAAATACGACCGAGGCATTACCGTACACGCTGCCATTATCACTAGTCTCAACATACCGAACCAGAACAGTAATAATGAGGAAGCACGCGAACTGCCCTAACGTTGATAGAAGCATCAACCCACGGCGACCCATCCGCTCAATCAAAAGTACAGCTACACCCGAGAAAATCAGGTAGGAGACGGCATTGCAAGCCGACAGCAATCGCGCCATTTTCTCCGGCAAACCAACCGATTTGGTCAGGACAGTGGGCATGTAATAAGACATGATGTTGATACCGCCAAACTGCTGCATGAACTGACTACCCATACCAAGTAACAGTCTGCGCAGTGTCTTGGTATCATTCTTCTTGTCCTTCTTGAGGAGCCCGCGCCAGCTCATGGCGTTCTGTCGCTCGTATTGAATACTGAATGCGATTTCGTTGCGCTGAGTTATCACCACGGGGTCATCAATCGGTTTTGCTTCGAGGCAGCTGAGCACTTCAACTGCCTCTTCTTCTTTGCCGTGGGCGAGCAGCCAACTGCGGGTATCTTGTTAGATGAAGCCATCAAAAGGATTGGCGTGTATGCTTACCGAGGAGACTCTGGCAGCCAGGGCGTTGTACCCCACAGAATGAAAAAGAAAAAGAATTGAAATCCGAGTGGGAATCGCCAGGCCACAGAGCCGCCTGCAAATGATAGTCCATAGTTGAGCCAGTTGACGATACAGTAACCGGCAATGTTCATCATCATATCTAGGATTACGAGTTTTCCGCGCCATTTCGTTTGGGATGTTTCGGTCTGCCAGATTGGGGCTGTAGCTGTGTTGATACCTATTGAGTGTCAGAATATTGTATTTTCATTGGATCCGATGATCTTTACCGTTGCCAACACTACAAGGGGTGTTAGTAGATGATCAAGTGTTCTGAAGAGAAGTGGTTACTTACCCTAACACGATACGACCAACGAACATCTGCGCCAAACTAAACGAGCTTGTTTGAATAATAGCTCCTATTGCCATGACGGTAGTTCCCAGCAGGATGGCTTTCTTTCGGCCCAGACGCTCACCAATGGTGAAGGCGATAATAGCTCCGAAGAAACAACCAATGTCATATATGGCAGTTACTGTGGACAGGGCGGTTGTCTTTGTAGGGCCGACCAGATTGTGGCTTTCGAGGAAATCTTGTGTGATCACAACGCCGCCTAGATTGAGTTAGGGTTAATCCGAGATTGTACAGTTTCTAGAATACTCACTGAACACTCCTTGGTCGTAACCAAATAAGGTCATATCAGTTGCGCATGCCACCTAAGACAAAACATGTCAATTCCAACCAAACACTATATGAGTAAACTTGTACATACCGTAATCCAAAAGGTCAACCATCCCCCAGTTAACCCGAAGTAGGGCTTTTTCTTCTGAGAGACAGTACTCATATTGGAATCGTAAATTGAAATGGAAATATCTACTCCGTACCCACGTTCAAGCGGGTGGGACTTCATCCCATATATAGTATAGAAATAGCCTAAATAAGTTCCTAACTATTCTAAAGACTCCGGGGTATGATCTCCCGAAGTCGGCTCCGCTCCGAAGTCCGGGGAGAAACGCGGGGAAAGGGTTCCACGGCAACCCCATTATCCAAAAAGGGTATCCCGTAGAGCTTGATCATCTAATCTTGATACCGGAACGAGTCAAATTAGATTCGCTTAGATTCATATGGAAGAACTGCCGAGGCCCTTGCGTCACTGGCTTAATTAATTGCATTGGAAAGATGTCGGCTATGATTGCGGCTTCTATTGACCCAGGAAAAGCACAGAGGTAAGTCGAACTAAGAGAGAGATAAGGTATAAGTGGACCTCTGGACCTCTTTGTATGCCTAGGCTATGTGGAATATTTCTAACTACAACTCTATTTATTTATTGGGAACGCTTTTTTTAAACGGATATTGCATGTCTCGTAAGTAGATGATA